CCCAGCCGAATATCTTCAAGATATCTTCGAGAAACAAGTAGCCACATTTCCAGCTTGTCAACAAATCCCAAAGAAGGAAGTAGACACTCTTAGATCCTGAGAACCAAATTAGAGAGGTGATGAACCAACACATGCTTGATTCTCTTCAGCTGTTGACAGTCTGAAGTCAGTCTAAAAAGGGAAGAGTAGCCCTTGGCCGTCTCTCCTCTCCTCTCCTCTCGGGAGGCCTTTTCTGGTCTCTTGACCCTCAGCCTTCCTTGTCCACCAAGGAGCAGGTTCAGAGCCATGTCGTCCAGCCCTGCTGAGGCAGCTGTATTGGGTGAATTGTTTCCTTGGGAGATGTTGCCTGTCTGCCACTGTGGTCCTCTTGGTGCCCCCCCCCCGGTTCCACTCTTTCCATAATGCCCTCTCTTGGTGCAGGCAGCCGGCCCCGTCTCTCTCCCCGGCCTGTGGAGCAGGCACCGCCAGCCCCGCCGTGGGCTCCGTCTCTTGCAACCCCTCGGACAGCAAAGCCAAGCCGGCCGGCCAGGCAAAGGAGACGCCTGAATCAGTGGGGATCAGCTCAGAGGAGGAAGAGGAGTTGGATTATGACCTGGCCCGGAAGAAGGTGACTGGGAGGGGGAAGGGAGGGGGCTGGAGAAGACTCTGGCGGCCTTGCTCGGGTTTTCCAGCAATATGCTTGTTCGGTTAAGGTGCAGCATCTCGGCCGGCATGAAGCCCCAAGGCCTGCTTTAACTATCTGGGCGAATCCACGGCCACCGACCATCGTGTCTCCCAGGATTCCTGGGGAGCGTGGCTTCTGAGCTGCAGCAGTGAAGGGCTAATAAAGCAAGCCTTCTCAGTTGTTTTGTCTTTTTCACTTCAATTTCTTGGATAATAAATACTTTTTAAAAAAAAACATTTCAAACAAGGAGAAGGAAAAAAGAGTTTGAAAAGAAGCTGTTGAGATGATTGGCTTTTGAAGGTGACCTGACCCCTCCCCCGCCCGCGCCCCTGATCTGTTCCCCCTGCCTTCCAGGTACAGTTGATTGAGAGCATCAGCCGGAAGCTGGCGGTGCTGCAGGAAGCACAGCGAGGCCTTCAGGACGACATGAATGCCAACACGGCCCTGGGGAGGGAAGTGGAGAGCCACGTCAAGGGGGCCTGCAAGAGCCAGGAGTACGAGAAGTTCCGCCTTTTCATCGGAGACCTCGACAAAGTGGTCAGCCTGCTGCTCTCTCTTTCCGGGAGGCTGGCCCGGGTAGAGAACACCCTGGGGGGCCTGGATTCGGAAGCTCCAGAGGAGGAAAAGGTGGGGAAAGATCCCAGCCAGGGCAGAGGAGAAAGGGGAGGGTTAGGGTTCAGAACGAAGCTGGCGCACTCGGGAGGGAGAGACCCTTCCGCCAGCCGTGGCCTCGCTGCTGCTGCGGAACTAGCTTGGGGTCTCCACCTCTCGCTCTGAGTCTGGGCCTCTCGCAGGACTGGTTGTTGTGGGTTTTCTGGGCTCTTTGCCCGTATTCTGAAGGTTGTTCTTCCTAACGTTTCGCCAGTCTCTGTGGCCAGAGTGCTGTCCTCTGAAGATGCCGGCCACAGAGATTGGCGAAAACTTTAGGAAAAACAACCTTCAGAACACGGCCAAAGAGCCCGGAAAACCCACAACAACCATTAGATCCCGGCCGTGAAAGCCTTCGCGAATATATCTCTCAAGACTGCTGTGACTCTTTGCCAGATGACCCGATCAATATCCCTTCCAGGCAGGGCAGTGGAACCGCTGCTTTCCCTGATGCAGAACCTGAGGGCCGGCTGTCACCTGAAGGGCATGCTTTTTAAAAGGTGTGGCTTTCACTGGCCGTGCCTCCAGTTTGGAGAGGAGGCAGAGCCGCGGCTCCAGGGCCAGAGGCGGCTTCTGGCCCTGACCGAGAGTCACAGCGGCTTTCCTGCTGCATCCGCCCTTCCCCTCCTCATCACTCTTTGCAGGGAGCAGCGTGGCAGCTGGAAGGGGGAGGATTTCCACCGGGCAAGGAGCCCTGAGTCACCCCGATGATGCTGTTTTTAAAATCAGCATAGGGAAAACAAGTTTAAGCATCATCTGTGAAAGTGTGGGGGAAGCGGGATTGGGAAGGGGCAGGAAACCTCCTCCCCTCTGAGGATTCTGTCCTGTGGAGTGCTTGAATTAGCCACGAAGGGGAGGCGGGCCCCGCGGCCGCCATGCATTGGCCTTGAAGGGAGGATGGGAGGCACAAGATCCAGCATGCCCATCCCTGGTCACTGCCTTCCCCGTGAAAGCAAGATGATGGTGGTTGGCTTTGGTCAGGCTGTACCTCTGAAGGGGTGGTGGTGGTGGATGTCAGTCCTGGCTGCTGGCGTGATCTCTCCCTGGGGGATTGGGGCCCTCACGATGCACGGTGAGGACTTTCACTGCCGCCTTTGGGTGTGCCTGGGCGCTCCGGGGCATGACTCTTCTCTCCTTCCTTCCTTCCTTCCCCACCAGCTGGTCCTCTTGGAAAAAAAGCGGCAGCTGATGGCCCAGCTGGAAGACGCCAAGGAGCTCCAGGAGCACGTGGCTCGGCGGGAGCGCGTGGTCTTTGCCAGCGTGTCCTGCCGCCTGCCCAGCGAGCAGCTGCAGGACTACCAGCACTTTGTGCGCATGAAGTCAGCCCTGGCCATCCAGCAGCGGCAGCTGGAGGACAAGATCAAGCTGGGTGAGGAGCAGCTGCGCTGCCTGCGGGACAGCCTGCGCCGGGGCGCCCGGGAGTACTAGCGGGGCCCCGTCTGGTGGCTGCCGGGAGACACATGCGCGCCCACGGGGGCCTTGGTCCTGGATCACGACCCTCCGGGCACTCGCTGCCTGCTGCATTCCTGCCCTCAGGAACGAGCCGTTTTGCCAAAGACTGCCATGCCAATCACCGTGTGCCTGCCCAGCCACCCTCCGTGCCAGGGGAGGCTGGGATCCCCCATGTGCCCTTTGGCCAGAAGACGGTGCCTGCCCCCCTTTGGGATGGGTGGT